TATGAAAGTACTAGATTAGGGGATCTAATGCTTAGAATTCTGATGATTGAGGGCTAAACCGCGATGTCATTAACGATCCCTTGTTGAATAAGCAGTTTTCAACAAAATATAATCGTAAAAAGATCATAGTAATCAAAAAGTCTACATTGGAATTGTATTATAGTAATCTGGATAAGAAAATGGCCATATTCTGCAAACATCATATTCTCCCAACATTATGCTAATATCTAAGTATCTAAGGAACATTCATTATGAATCTTTACATAGGGATTTAATTTTCTATCACGAAGTGCAAAACAGTGGGATATGTTGTGTGGCAATATTTGTATTCAAATTCTTAGTTTCATCGCAGGATATCTACATCTCTACCATCTTTTATTACATATATCATCGTGTTCATAAACGTGTAATAATTACATAATTTTCGTGTTTTTTCACGAAGACTATGTAATTATGGGGATAAAAACAACTTTTAATCGTATTCTGCTTTCCTTCTGGTTGTGCTAAATCGAGTATGATGATTCCCTGGGTCTGAAATTTCTCCTCGCACAATTTTATGATGACATGCATCATAAGAGTGTAACAGAGTTCAGTACTTATTGGAATCTCCGTCACAATAATATGTTCTCGATAATAATGAGCTTTAATTAAAACATATCCACTAGATACGAAGTATGTGAAATGTTGTACTTATTTCGTAATGTTTCAATATGACACTTCGCAAAAGCTTATATGGTATATAGACGCACACACGAGAAAATGGAATGAACCTTCTCGTTGAGATTACGTTCATTTGCGCAAAAGCTTAGTTGGTACATAGACCCACACACGATAAGATGGAACGTATATTCTCGTTGAGGTTACGATGTTTTCTCCTGAAAGCGAAACTTTACCTCATTATCGAAGGAGAGATTCGGAGTTACATGATAGGAAACTTTGTTTGAGATTGCGATGAAACTCTCGTATCACCAACGGTCAACGACATCAACGTTTGCTTGACGTTGCTTTTCTTCAAACGTTAGAATTACTCTCCGCGTCTCCGCGCCAGGCTCCTGCAGTTGGATGGGAGGTTACTTCGGAAATTTCAAATTTTTGTTTGAATTTCAGCACTTTCAACTTGGAACAGATAAGTCCTCTGTCTTACCTATCGTTTAGTTCAATGTGTTCAATTCAGTTCACGAGACGATCGTCTAGACAGATTGCTTGACTTTCCAACTTGTGACATACGCGATTCCTTAGCGATCATTCGCATACTACTTTCTTGCTGCTGAGCTACTGATCGAGTTGCTCTGAGAGACACAGAGTTGTGATCTAGCTCAGGTTTGTTGACATTTCAAAATCATCAACAAAATTTCAGTAAAATAGTATAATAGTAGGAGAGTAATAAACCTTTCGTTTTTTGGCAATTACTAATCTGATTAATGTTATGTGGTTACTCTACTGACATGGTTTATCTCAGCTCAATGACCCTTTCGACGCTATATAATCATAAAGTTTGCACAGAAGATGTGAACAGTGTAAATAGAATGTGTTTAGAAGGATTATTCTTTTCTCGCGAACTTATTTGCCCAATTACAAATTTTAATGGCTTCATTCCTAGATTAATCTACTACTTCAACAATAAAGGTTGATCCAAAGATGTCAAAAGGTAATTTTTCAATCGGTGCATTTCACTGCGTTTCCTCAGTCTGCCATGGTGACATATATTGTGGTTTATGTAAGTACTTTGCATGGCCACGGTTGAGTTTTAAACTTATAAAACCTATCAAAAAATCTTGATCAGATTTGTGAAAGTACATGCAGGTATTCCCATAGTTGTGTTTGAAACTTACAAACTAACACAAAGATTGATTAGATTTGTGAAAGTACATGTAATTATTTCGATGGTTGTGTTTGAAACTTACAAACTAACAAAAAGATTGATTAGATTTTTGAAAGTAATTGTAAGTGTTGCCATAATTGTGTTTGAAACTTACAAATTAACACAAAGATTGATTAGATTTGTTAAAGTACATGTAATTATTGCGATGGTTGTGTTTGAAACTTACAAACTAACAAAAAGATTGATTAGATTTTTGAAAGTAATTGTAAGTGTTGCCATAATTGTGTTTGAAACTTACAAATTAACACAAAGATTGATTAGATTTGTGAAAGTACATGTAATTACTGCGATGGTTGTGTTTGAAACTTACAAACTAACAAAAAGCTTGATTAGATTTTTGAAAGTAATTGTAAGTGTTGCCATAGTTGTGTCTGAAACTTAAAAGCTATAAAATAATCTGATAAGACTTGTAACAGTAATTGTAAGTATTGTCATGGTTGCGTCGAAAACGTAGAAACTAACAAAATATCTTGTCACATCTGGGAAAGTACTTTTGTTTATTGCCATGGTTGGTTCGAAACCTACAAGCTATAAACAATTTGATAAGATTCGTAAAAGTACTTGTAAGTATCGTTATGGTTGTGTCTGAAAGGTTAAAACTATCAAAAATCTGGTCATCTTAGTATTGCTGTAAATCTTTATCTTGCCTTTTACATTGTTCAATTATCTTAATTGAATGAAAACAAACGATGCGATTTGTTCAATTATTCACGTCTTCTTGCTAATTTCAACCAACTTCAAGTAATTTACAAGATTCATTCGACCATATAAAAGTTATTTGTTGCTTCATAATGCCATATTGAGTTAGAAGACCTCTTAGGATCTCCTTAGTCCCTTTCAAGGGTCGAAAGAATCTCTTTTGAGATTCTTTCTTACATACTCTACCGCCTTGACATAGCAAATTCATAGGAAACTATTCAACTTCTTCTTCTCCATATATGAAGAATATGAATGCAAACATCCAAGAAAAGTAGATATCTGGAATCTATTTTCCGACTGATTCATAAAGATGATGAAACAAATCTGTTTATATGCTGTAGAAACTTCGTACGTTTGACCATACTATTCACTATACCCATACAAGAAAAGTACTTATCCAACTCAGAAATAGTTGTCAGGTATCATTCGATTTCATGACTAACATCCAAAATGTTGTCATATAACCTTGTGTAGTGTTGTAGCATTCGCTTTCTAAGAAAACAGAAACCTCTTGGTTGAAGAAAACCCACATCGTCTCTCGTTCCATGTGAATTAGTATTTCATGCAGATAAGATTGTGAAATTTCGACAGATGGAGTGTTGATAAACAATCCATTGTCACCAGATCTCACTATTTGAAGGATATTATTTTCAAAATAAGCCAAGAGAGATGATTCTAACTTAGAAAAGATACACATCAGAAAGACTAAAGTCATTTTTTCCTGATTTTCAACCTTTTTTCTCTTAGGAAAGCCTATACCAAAGAAGCCTCAATGAAACGAGTTTTTTTCTTATAAAATTTGTACTGATTTTATCATGTAGATACCAGTTTTTTGGATTTATTTTACAATTCATCGCTTGAATCCATTCCTCTGCTTGATATTTGATATGTTGTAAAATTATATGGGTCCTTGTAATTAGAATCTTCTGAGAAAGTGTTTTTTTTGTGAAGGAAGGATTCTTGCTTATTGCTTCTATCATCCATTTGCTGGTGTTTAGCGAGATCATATATGAATAAGTTTATGGAATCTTCTACAGCCTCCTCAACACCTGAAGGAAACATTGAAAATAAGAGTTAAACTTGTTTAAAATAACCTGTATCAGACTGTTTAGACACTACTGTTAAGACACTACATGTGTTGAGGTCAAGGTTTTTACATTTGACGACACATATTTAAACTTGACTTTCAAATATAATGGTGCAGTTCAGCAGGTGAGGAGGTTTCCGACTTTTTATATCCTTCAATATCTTTATTTTTATGTGGTTTTAGGATTTCATGTTTTCTAGGAAGTTCAAGCAAGATAACTTCTAGTTGATGATTGACAAGCTATGATTCAAACGACCAAGCTTTACTTATCACGCCATTTTTGGTGCTCATTAATTAGATCATCCATGTTTCTTGTGTGTAGTAATTGCATAACAAAAAAATGGTTTTACTGAGAACTATATGTTCTCAAATTTGAAATTAGACCCATAGGAATTCTGATTCTATCAACTAAATGAAATTGGTAAGTGTTTTTCTTCTCTTATCTCACATCATTCCAGACGATAGGCTCCTTCCCAAATCTTACTCCAATTATACGTTACACCAGTCTACACGAACAATGACGATCACAAAGCCTCTCATATCTTGTTTAGATACTTAATCAAACTTTCCATACCCCTTACTTCTTGATAGTATCTTTTTGTAGAGATTCCCACCTTACTGTTGAATAATACCTCTCATATCTTGTTTAGATACTTAATCAAACTTTTCATACCCCTTACTTCTTGATGGTGTGTTTTTGTCGAGATTCCCACATTACTGTTGAATATTACGTCACATTGGAATCTGCCTAGTTCCTAGACCCTAGATCAAAAAGGTCACTTGTCTTCATGAGATCAATTCTTTAATTCATATTCATAGAATATATGTTGGTTTGCCCATTGTGATATTGCAATTGAATATTTCTGGCTATTTCAAGATCGCTGAAGCAATCAAATTTGTCTAATATGACAAATATTCCGACTAACGCATAGACGAGAGAAGAGCGATATTATGTTGTTGAACATCTCACTTCCTTGGATCAGTTCTTTTCACATCTTGCACGCTTATCTGACAAAGGGATGCACGAGAGATCAATATGAATTATCCTCTTTACTGAATTCTCTTGTTGATCACTTCGATAGGATCAGACTAAGATACATTTGTTACAGTTATTCATCTCTTTCCAGATGACACCAGATATGTTTTCCATATGGGAAATTTTTCTGTCTAAAGGATGGAATAATAAGGGTAGAGATGCCAGTTTTTTTACCAGATCCTGAAGTTCATAAATGTTAATCCTAAACCTAGGGAATTGTCCCTAGGTTTAAGATTTCTTTGGTAGCTTAGACTTAGGGTGTTTGATATATCTTGGATTCTAACTGTATCTAAGAGTTCTCGCCACAATGCCAGTAGGAGGTAAGTCTGACCTACCAACAGGAATTCCTTGATGCAATATCTAGAAGGTAGACATCTGTCACAAGATTGACAAGATTTATTAGATTGCCAAAAGCTTCCCTAATCTTTGTGGCAAGTTCATGAAATCAGCCAGATCTTCTGATGATTTATGTTCAGTTCCTTTTCAGAAGTAATATATTGAAAAATGATCATGATTATCAGTAACCTATCACTGCTTTATGTCGTTTCAATAAAAATACTTCATCAGTTAATGAGACAAGCGTAAATTATGTCTCCTGGAAATTTTTTATTTTGAATTAGATAGCATGACAAGAGACAATGAAATAACTAACCACATGTATTTGTTGACTCCCAGATCCATCCATAAATCTTGTAAGATCTTTGCATCAGATCCGAGCACAAGTGAGTGTAAGCATGAATAATACATTAATAGTTGTAGGGTCTGGCTGAGTCATCGTAATCAATTTCAATCATAAACTCCTCAATAATGCAGGTCATATAATCAGATATGTTTCTCTCTGATAATTCGCACCCTCGGAGTTGGCCATGTGTGTCATCTACATTAATTTGTGTGCTTCTAAGTTACCAGTTTCGTGAAACTAACAACTTTATGACTAAACTTCAGAGTTCTCAAGGATTCGAAGTTGGAGAAAATGGAGGGTTCTTCGACACTACCAAAGTTTTCTCAGAGGAGATGCCTCGAAGAGATAATCAATTCTAGCGAGGACAACCTCCCTTCTGCGGCAGTCGTGGATTTTCCCCTTGACAGAAAAGGGTAAGCACAATTTATTTTCCTCGAAATTACACAGCGTTTTGTAGTTGTCTTCATGTAGATCCGAACGACGCATGGTCTCTGAAGCCGAATATTCTTGTAACTTCTATGGATGTAACAGGAAGAAGATGAGAGTTTATCATGCTCCGCAACCAAGGAAGCCAAGCACGTCTTGGACGGCGGAAGAGGTGAGTAAACCATTGTTTGATAACTAATACTGGTGTAGAATCTATGTAGACAAATCAGTCTTAGGAAAGTTTGAAGACTCGACAAATTCAATGTGGATTCTGTCACGATTTTGAAGCCATGATGCTCATGACCTTCAGAAGAAGCACTCGAGTTCCTCCAAGTATGAATGATGTTTTAGGTTCAATTTGTTGATAAATTATGCTTAGATTGGCGAATACAACTGAAGGTAAGTTTTTCGATTCATTATCAGGCTGTCACAGGATATATTTTCTCGCTCCGATATTTGACTTGCCCTGCACCATCTGTAGTATGCTTAAGTAGGGTCTGGTTCTCTGACCACTGTTATTCAATGTAACATCTGATTAACATCCACAGGTGTTCTGAAGTGAATATCTGCAATGACTGAGTTTTACAACTAATCTGAACCCAAGGAGACTGTTTACTTCATTGCTACAGGACGAAACATTACGAGCAGCAGTCGAGAAATTCAAGGGCCGAAATTGGAAACAGATTGGTGAGTATCAGAAACCGTTGGGGGCGCGTCCATCAAATTCAAATTTGAATTTGAACTACCCGCTAGATGTGATACGCGTGTGCCCTTGTCATCGGGACTTGTACATATTTTGGCGGGCGTAGTTCCTCAAAGGAGTTGCTCAAAGGAGTATTGATCTCGAGGCTGCAATAGTGGATTGATCTCAGCATTTGCACGACGGCGCAGACGAAGAGAATTGAGACAAAGATGACGAAGAGAATTGAGACAGAGATGACGCAAAAGGTGACCACAACTCTTCTTTGTAATATCTGAATTTATGTATTGGACTGATGGCATGTGCAGCTGCGAGTTTACCGAATCGGTCAGATGCTCAGTGCCTTCACCGCTGGCAAAAGGTTCTTAATCCTATCCTGGTTAAAGGATACTGGAGCAAAGAGGTAAGTGACTCTTATATAAGCACATATTAAATTACGAGAGTGAGGTATCCCAGATACCACGTTCGACAAATGTGATGATTGATTTAAGTAGCTATATTCGCAGGAGGACGACAAGATGCTCGAATTGGTCAAAACGTTCGGCACGAAGAGATGGGCTGCCATCGCTCGGGCAATGCCTGGCAGAAATAGCAAGCAGTGTCGAGAGAGGTGCGTATGAAGTATGTGGCTGATTTATATGTTCCTAACCTAATACGATAGTCCCTGAAATATACTATTGATGGTAATGCTGCTAGCATGAGAATTTTGAGCTGCAACCGTGAGTGTATAGGAAACGTGAGGACTGAATGTGTGCTTTACTTCAAATGTGGAACTAAATTATTCACAAGAAATCTCTCTAACTTGCTCATTTATTGCTACAAAGATGGTGCAATCATCTGGATCCCAAGATAAAAAAGGAGCCGTGGAGTGAAGAAGAGGACATGATGTTGGTTATGGCTCACCAGAGGTTAGGCAACAGATGGGCAGAGATCGCAAAGATCATTCCTGGCAGGTAATTTCAGTATATTTGCAAAATTTAGATTTTATGAGGCCAAGCTCTATTATAATTTTTCATTAGCAATTTTCTCATGTAATTCTTCTGATTGTATTACATTTACACAATTATCAGGTCGGACAATGCCATAAAGAATAGGTGGAACACGGCAAAGAATAAACGGTCGGATGCACTGGAACAATCCAGTGAGAATTGGATCAACAGTAGCACATTTGGAGATATGTCTTCCTTTACCGAAGATGTGGCTCAAAGAGACCTTGACGCTAATCAACATGTTCTGGCATGGAATGGCGAGCCCAATGTTATGACATGGAATGGCGAGTCCAATATCGACATTCAAGATTCGAATGCGGCGGAGGACCTTGCATTGAACAGCGTGTTCGGACCGGATAAGATTGAGGATGAAGATTGGTTCCCGGACTTTGATTTTTGTCTTTAATGTCAAGTTTTTTACAGCTAATCCCTACAAGGACCATGTAAATGTAATACTTTGTGGAACTAATCATGCCTTTATGCCTATGGTTGTAGAGGCTGTTTCCTTGGATGATTATGTTTCTTGGGTATCCAATAAATTAGACCAGAAAGCACTATGTTGCATAAAAGGGGGCCAACCCCTGTGCCCTCGGCTCCGGCCCTTAGGCTCGTTTTTATCTCTTTTTGAACTAGGTTCAAGAATCTGTTGTCTCGAATTCTTCGCCGCATGAGGCCTATAAGCACTTGCTTATCTATTTTATTGAAGTATTGCGAGGTTTCACCTTATATGAACCAGACGGTCCCCACAAAGTCACGGCGTATCCTTTTTTTGGCCGTGGCAGATGTGCGGCCAAACTAGTTCTTTACAAGTTGAAACAGCTCAGCGAAGCTAAGCTTTTGGGTCCGAAGGAGACTTCTTTGGCTTTACGCGGGTGTTTAGGTTTGAAGAAGCTCGGTGAGAGACCACTTAGTTCTTATTATTTTCTGTGAGACTTGCTGTACATCACAATATTATAATTGAGATTTTATATAAGGATTGCAATTAAAATATTACAAGTTTCCTCATAAATGTTCATAGATGTACGTATTGTTCCATAGATGTACGTACTGTTCCAATAATGTAGACTGTCATGACAGTTTATTCTGTCCTCAATAACAACAATTCTGACAACTGACAACAAGGGGAGATGCATTTTACTTTTGAATTTAATAAATCGCTTGGATTGCTCCTAGTTCTCAAGTTTGTATTGCAATTGTCATGAAGTGTAATATTATCTGTCGGCTAGCAGATTACTTCCCTTGTGAAAGCCCCGATCTGATGTAATCCAACCACTGTAGCGTGTTGGACTCCGTAAATCCTAGAGTATAATAATGACGTAAGGGGAAAGAGAAATGTCCATATTTTAAATTCCTGATGTCAGGAAAATTTGCAATTGCCAGTCTAGACAGAACTTTGTCTTCACAAACAATTTTTTCCCCTTATTGTACAAAAGTTGCTGTACGGTAGTAACAGTTGACTAGATGAAGTTAGGAGATATTTAATGGAGGTGTGTTAACTTGTGCCAGTACTCTATATCTTTTATCCATATATACAATTTCAAGCACATCCGTTTGCATTTACTGAAGTTTATCATCTCACCAATGATAAAAATTGAGTTTTAGTGTTGGATGATAAGATTTCCATTGTAAGATAATCAAATCAAATCCCTTCAATTTAAAAAATTCACGATTTTGCCAAGTCGATTGGAGTTTTGGTTACTACCAAGTTGAAACAAACGTCCCATGAGTCACCTTAAGTCGAATTACAAAGACTAATAAGAGCTAAAACATTAGCTAAACAAACATAACAAAGCACAACACCTACTGTTTGGAAAAATTTGGTTCGAATTTATTAACTTCGCTTGGCTTTTTCAATCGTCTTCTGACCACTGGATGGTATCCGATCTCTCGACCACGAGATATAGCTCTGTGACCTGCTTCTATTTGTTGAGATGTTATCCAAGAGGGCTTGAGTGCTTGACGGACTTGGAAAAAGAAATAGAAAGAATCATTTATATATATATGTAGCAATACTCTTATTCTTTGTCCTCGTAAAAATAGCTAAGCTAAAAAAAGAAAGAAAAATTAAGTATATTTGGCAATGACACGTTCAATAAAAATAGGTACCTTTGTACCTGATTAATTGTGTTTATATACAGGAAAGGTGCGGTTCCCTCTGTGGCTCGATGTACTGCACATGACTATAGCCCAAAAATATGAGCGTGAAAACATTAAACCCATACGGCTTGGATTTTATGAACTTCACTCAGGCCGTATATAGAATTCATTGAACACTGAAGACGTATCTTTGCGCTTGGGGCAATGACGCAGTTAGTGAGATGAAATCGAGACGCGTCAATTGCTGGTTGAAAACTATTTCCAAACCCCCGCCCGTGCCTTAACAGGGGCGTGCGAATTTCTGGAAGATCCGACTTTGTCTGGATCTCACAATGTGAATTAAACTGGACCCAGCGACGATACTTCCGACTTTGTGTGAACTACTTACCGTTCCGAGAGAAAGCAATGTTTACCCTGGGCCAGTCATACTGAGAAAAGAGAGAAAGCAATGTTTTCCCTGGGCCAATCATACTGAGAAAAGTAAGGTGGCGTGAGGAAATGAGAAGTCATACACCGGACCTATTGAATTGGACGAATTTGATTCTTCGACAGGAGGAAACCTGCAAACGAGTGCTCTGTTCCAATTTCTGTGCTCTTGCATGTACAGAGAGTGATTTTGAAGAGCATAGTGCAGATGCAAATCAAGACTTAGCTTGCAATCTGTTCCTATGAAATGGAAGTGCGCGAAGTCTCGGTATAACTACTCAATGCGAGCTGCATAATACAAGAGGCAATCATCACTGTGATATGCGTCACAATCTTAATAAGCTGCAAACCTCGTTAAATGAGAACGAGGTTTGCAGCTGATTCCGAGTTCTTCTTATATAGTGCGGATTGGGCAAGTGGATGTGGTTGAGTCGTATTTTCTAATGAAGATGTTGTTCTCACGGGTGATATCACTGTCACATTTCATACTGCCGTTAACAAAATCGAAATTCGAGAAGGTGGAACATGAGCACTTTCTGAAGCAATGATCCTTCAGATGAGAATCTTTTAATAGAGGATCAATGTCTCAATGGACTACGATCTCAACAGTGACATAATCTACAACACTGACGTCAACCAAACATGTGATCGTCAAGATCTTCCTGGAAGACATGATGCCACTCTGATGTGAAACATTCGATCGTTGTTTGAAGAAGCGCTCTCAGACAATTGCTTACAGTTGGATGCGTGACCCAAATGTGGTATTGTCGTTCCTGCGAACATCGGCTAGTCTGGCCTAGTCCTCACAGGTTATGAACCGCACTTCACTTGCTGGAGTGGGTCAAAGCCCGATCAGCTACATGTGTACATGGAACATATCTCAACACATCTCAACACGTGAGGCATTTCAAAGCACGGTGAGGGCGCCGTCATCGGGTCTAATTCCGATCAATCAGATCAGCCTCCGATAAGGAGTGCCGATGAAAGGTCTCAAATAAGAAGCAAGAAGGAGACGGTGCGAATCAAAATGCCCGATCCTTCGTTTGAGTAATGTAAACGTATACCTTCAAACCAATCCGCTTCGTTTTGCAGCTACGGGTTTCCAATTTTCAAACGAGACGTGTCGTTGAAGATTATTCTTTTGAAACTCATAAATTGATATACAAAATCTGAAATCTGTAATTCAAATTTGAAATCTGAAATTTGGTGACCGTGGATTCTCTCGTACATACCACAGTTAGCTAACTAAACGACTCACCTATTATCATCTTTGTGGCGTAGAAGGTTGCGATTTGCAACGGGAGTCTTTGGCATGCCAGACATCTTCCTCTTGCATGGCGCCTGAACTCGAGTAGTCGACTTTACAACCGGTCCAGATGCCGGAAGGAAGGTTCTGCATTAGGACATTGACGTCAAAATCAGAACTTGGAATCCGATAGCCAAGATTAGATATCTCAGTTGATTAGAGCAAAAGACTGATCCTTGTGTCACCGTTTCAAATCCACCTCTAAGCGCAATAAGCGTCATGTGAACTGCTGCCCCTTTAAAATGGCAGAAGAGATCCTAATGGCAGGAGAGATACGATGGTGCTCCACACACCGTGCCTCTTATGACATAAGCGCTGGGCCACCACAAAGCAACGCGGACTTCTCTAAGCATCTGCCAGACCTCTGCTATTTTTATCGGTTACTCCATCACTTACAAGTAAATTAATGAGACTGAAGCAAATCGCGAGAACTTGCGGCACGAGCTCTGATATTAAATTCTAAATTGGAACTTCTTGACAACAGGATAACGTGATCTGAGAACAACAAGCTCTGAGATAAATTCTCTACGCGGCAAATATATGTTGCAACAAGTTTGTATATTCCGAGGATCAGAAAATCTTGCTGAATTGCCTTGTAAAAGTCTCCGCTGCTGTTGTAACCATTGGCAACTATCATCGCCTGATCCACGTCGAATTCAGAGCTGATCTTCTAGTCCAATAATGATAGACAGATCTCTGTGAGTCGATAGTGTCAAATTGTTTCGCTATCGACCTCCAAATCAAGAGGCTCAGCAAGCCTCTGGACAGATTTTTATTCGAATGCAGTTTGCATCGATAAAATAAATGTCTTCCATACGGCAGCATAAATCTCGATAGAACGGAAATGTATAAGGTTGTCAAGTCCTCATGATCTAAAGCGTGGATTGTATTCACCGATTCGGGCATGTCGGTGAACCAACCTCTCCGTGGACAGACCTCCCCAGAGCGTCTCATACAAGTGTATGACTAAAAAGAAGGTAGACTCTCCTAGTCTGTTGCTGGTACTCGAGCCTGTGCTGAGATCCCACTTGCTGCAGTTTATGGAGACGTTCTTCCCGACCTCCCGGAAGACAGCTGACAGTGGGCACTGGGACATACGAGGTTGGAACATCCTTAATCGAGCAGTTGCAGGACCATCTGAACCTTGACCAAATCAAGGTAAGAGGACATAGCGAGAAAATTCCTTCGCTTTCTCTAGCTTCACTGCGGGGAGAAACTTTTCACTACGGCTCTAATCTCTATGTCTGTGATAGGAGCGACCAAACACATATCATCATTTCTATATATTTCGCTCGGGAAAGCTAAACAACACGAGTACTACTATGTAGGGTAGAGCTATTCTCCTACATCCAAAGGCATGTATATCGTTGGAGGAAGTTTTCTGATCATCTTATTTTTGATAGTGAAAACATCAACCCTCAGAAGGAAAATTTTCAACTGAATCACCCGATTAACTCATTTTCATCATCTTCCTCAAGCTATTGATTGAAGATGCCCGTTCTAACAGAAGAGGAGTTCCATCCAAAGAAACTCTTTGCTTCTGTAGTCTTAGCATCGTTGCCAAGAGTATAACCTTTCCCGTAGTTTTAGACAACATAGATCATATTTGCATCTATTTCTAGGCCCCTTATATTTAATTTCAGAGACACAGTAAATGAACTCTTTGCCAAGTGAGGGAAATGCCGGAGACCAACAAGTGGGAAGTGTCTCGTGAAACATGTGTTACGCACTAGAGCTCTCACTTCTTCTATTCCCTCGTGAGATGGATTGTTGTCGGGACATATCACAGGAAGGTAATATCTGCCAACACATTTGAGCAAGAATGATATCAGAGTTAATACTGTAGACAAGAACATTCCAGACGATTGTTGTATCCATTTGGCTTAACTTTGCGTGAATCAGCGGAGTACTACCTGACCTGCCATGCGTGATGACTTCGGTATACCAAGTCCCTTTTGAGCCAATTAGTATTAGGCTAACGTGATTACGAAGGTTACATGGTTGGAATGAAAAGTGCCAAGATTCTAAGAAGTAAAGATCGTGACGAAGTTTGAGGGCTTACCTCTGGCCCTTTTTCATGTTCATCTTTCTTATTTATCCAGATAGTCCGGAACCTGAACTATTGATTGAGTCAAGA